TCCCGAACCTGTCGCGCCCCCTCCCGGCCGCCCGCGCTCCGCCAGCCGCGCCCGCGCGCTCCAGGAACGCGGCCCGCGGGCTGCGCAGGGCAGGGCTAGAGCTGCGCCCCAGGCTCTCCGGACGCCCCCGGCGGAGCCCACCGGGTGCCTCGGACTCCGCCTTGCCACGACGCGCTCAGAAAGCGTGCGGATTCGGTTGCGCGGAGTCCGGGACCGGGTGTGGGAAGGTCGTGGGATGCCCTCAGGTTTAGTAAGGACTTTGAGTTGTTTCTTTTAATTTTGCTGAGAAAGTGAAGGATCCAGGGGGAAAGTTGGGCCCGCTTTCTTTGAGGTCCAGGTGCAGAAGCTGAAGAACTGTAACCCTCCAGAAGGCAGGGCTCCCACGGTTTCCCTCAGCCCTGTTTCTGGCTGGGTGACAGGAATGTAGGTGTAGGTGATCCCTCTTAGGAATACCCTGTTCAATAGTAAATAGCGAACTGGTCCCTAGGTTTACTTACATCCCATTTTACAAATATCCTATTTCTGAATTAGAAGACCTAGAGGTTGAAAAACATCCTGACCTCAGCGAATGAACTTGAAAACGGAATAGAAGACGCTTTTTATAAAACCCCAAGACAAACAGTTCCGGCAGCACACAGTCTTTATTCTAATAAAAGTCATTCTCCCTGGGGAGACTGAAAGGAAGGTGGGGGAGGGCCTGGTGTGCTGATTTGGGGCCAGCAGACTTCTTATGAATAGAAACGTTAGTACTTTTGAGTCATCTGGCTGTGTAAGTAATAAGAGCTTGTGAGGGTGTGACAATGCTGTTTAGCTGAAAGGAAGTTTTGGGGAGTGTGTATTTTGTTTAAAGATTTTTATCTTAAAACAAAAACTAGCCCCCTGCCTTCCTTAAATTGTGAGGTAGAACTCTGATTTGTTCTGCACTGAGCACATTACAGGGTCTTGGTAGATTGCCACTGATAAAAAGGCAGGAAGTCAAGCCAAGCTGCTAGCAAAGGAGCTAGCCAGGAACTCATGAGAAAAATCAGAATGACTTGAAACAGAAGGATGCTGGATCTTGACAGCCATATCTAGATCACTTCAGAAAACGCCAAGTGTGGCCTCATACAGGAAGACGTTCTGACTTTTACCACTTCCTCAGATTGGTTAGGGAGAAAGTTAGCAGTTATGAATGAACAGAAAAAAGACAAACTAGCAAAACACTGACAGAGTCTACCCCTCAATAAAGATGAAAAATCAGGCACTTATAAAATTTCTACAATATGCCTGTGGCTATCCTCACAGTCACTTAAAAAATGCCTGGTTCACAGTGTCCAGTCTACAAAGAGGAGGGTCAACACAGAGGAATCACTTCTTCCATGTTTCCAACCGAAGCCAACGAGGGTGGAGCAAGACCCTTGAA